GCTAGAGGTAACATGGTTTAATAAGGAAAATAGTCCCCACACCAGCAACTATCTATGTTTGTATAATATTTGATACAGCGCCTTATCACGTCGTTGAGACGTCTCAAAGCGCTTCACAGAATATGTGAATACTGTAAAGTGTATATTTTGAGGGGGAAACGCGGCAGCCAATTGCGCACAGCAGCGTCCCACAAACAGTCGTGGATTGAGTGACCAAATTATTATATTTATTTTGAAGGGATTATTATTCCTGGAAAGAAAGCCACCAATCGACTAACAAACTGGTTCCTACTTACCGCTGTGTAAAGAGAGGAATGCGGAATAAGGAAATTTGCCTAAGCTTTGGCTCAGTTCGGGAATCACACGCAGGTTGCGAGTCGAGTGCTCCAACCACCACCCTATCGAACTCCACAAGTTATATGATACAACACACCGTGTGCTACTGGGTTCATATATAACCATCTCTAACATGATCTAAGGCTCCTCTGTGTGATATAAATCAGTACATCTCTTCGGAAGATCTTAACCAAGTTTATGTTTAATTCACGGATGAAGACAAAATGCATGGGGATGCCAAATATTGGCATTTCTTAACAGTAAACCGTGACCTTAAAAGCGAGGCGATTTGATGGGAGTGCATCTGTCTGCCAGCCATTAATCACACAGCTAAAGAGAGTTTATTAATATCTTATCAGTGGCCATTGGGTAAGTAATGCTGTCAGCTCCCCTCCTCACAGCCTATGTGCAAAGAGTGGTGATTAAGCAACAGATTAAAGACAGTCATGAATATTTTAGGAGGTGTTTTTGAAACATTTCCTGTTGTTTTAGCCTAATAGCCCCATTAAACACTGGGGGTGGGGGCAGGAGTTACACGGTGCACTTAGCTTCAACTGCTTAACCCAAGGGACCAGTGAGCACGTGACCATCCCAGCTTCTTTCTCTTTCCTCCTCACTCCATCCTTCTCTCCCCTCCTTCCCTCAGTCCCTCCCTCCCCCTTCCCTCTCCTCTCTCTCCCTGCCTCCTTCCCTCCTTCAATTCCCTTTTGGTGCGATTTGCTCGAAGATCTGTCCCACACACAAGTAATGCATTGCGTTCTTTACGAGGTGGCTTGGCTATGATAATAATAATAATAAACTTGGTAATAAACTTGATAATAAACTTGGCTTCTGATCCTGTGAAGTCCAAACAGCTCACAGGCCCTCACTGGGAATGACTGCCCAGTGTAGTGACTGTATGTTTGTAGGCAAATGACTCAGGACCTGTGCTTCTATGTGTGTTTATGTGTGTGTGTGTGTGTGTGTGCATGTGAGTGTGTGACTGTGTGTGTGTCTAATTGTGTATGTGCATGTGTGTGACTACATGTGTGTGGGTGTGTGTGGGTGTGGTAGTGTGTGTGTGTGCTTGTGTTTTGAAGACAGGGAGGGAAGGGGTGAGGTGGAGGGACTCCAGGATGGATGCAGTTCCAGAAAGCGGGTGGCAGGGGCATATTAGTTGTAAGCTCTGTGAGCCAAACACCCCCACCCTCGCCCAGCTTCACTGGCTCCCATACATACAGAGGATAGAGTTCAAAATCCTCGCCCTCACTTTCAAAGCCCTACATTGTCTCCCAACCTCTGTGACATATTAAAACCCCACCAACCTGCCTTCTCCCTCTGCTTGGTAGGCCCTGGTGTGCCCCACATTCCCACGCCATGCCCACTCCACTATCGCCAGCCTTTCTGCCACCACCCCAGAGGGTGGGGTCACACCTTTCCAAAGCCCCTTCCTTGCCTTGTTCAAAGCCAGGCTCAAGACCCTCCTCTTCATAGACACATAGATATAGAACCAGGAGTAGGCTATTCAGCCCCTCGAGCCTGTTCTGCCATTCTATAAGATCATGGCTGATCTATACCAGTTATCCGCCCTTGCCCTTAATGCCCTGACCTAACAAATATTTATCTACCTCCATCTTCGACCACGCCTTCGGTTATCTTCACTCCCCTCCAACTCTCTCTGATCTCAATCCCAGCTCGGGTGCAGAATCCTTGACTGTCCAGTAACTTGGGACATCCTACTGACATGAAAGGCGCTGTGTCAATGTAATTTGTTGTTGTTGTTGTTGTTGTTGTTGAAGGTGGAGCTGAGCGGAGCGGGGATGGAGAAGGATCCATGATGCTAAAGGCAGCAGAGAGATCAGAAGAAATAAGAGGCAGAGAGAGCCCTGGTCACAGATAGAGAGAGACTGGGGTTGGTGATAATGAGTAGAGTGGTCTCAGTGATGCGGACAGGACAGAAACCCACTGGATTGAGAGTAAGGAGTGAAACTGGGAGGTGTGACTGGTTGCAGCACCTTGGAGAGAGAGAGAGAGAGAGAGAGAGAGAGAAGTGGCAGACAAGAGATGGATCATTGGCTGGGGAGAGTGAAGTAGGGAGAGGAAGGGTTTCTTGAGCGTGGAGTGAAAGGGGGTAACTGTGCCGGGGAGAGGGAACGGCTGATGGCAACAGCTATCACTTGGTGGGGGGATGGGGTGTTGGGAACAAGGTCAGTAGCTGGTGGTTTGAGATGAAGGAGGAGACAGGAAAGGTGGAGATGACACAGACCCTCAGACACACACTTTGGACCCGATCTGGGGGTGGAGGTCAGAAGGCGATGAGGACAGAGGAGATGGACGGTGGGAGTGTGGCCGAAGGCAGGGTCGAAGAGGAAAGTCTTCAGACAGGACTTGAAGGAGGCAAGAGAGGGGGAGGTGGGGGTGAGGCAGAGGGATTGCGGGATAGAGTTCCAGAGTGTGGGGACAGAGATGCTGAATACCCAACCACCAATGGTGGGGTGGGAAGTGCGGGGGACCTGAAAAAGGCTGGTTTCCACCGAGCGGAGGGAGCAGACAGGCTGACATGGGGTTAGGAGGTCAGAGAGATGGGGTGGGGGAACAAGACTGTGGTGGGCCTTGCAGGTAAGAACGAGACTTTAGTACTTGATTTTCTGAGGAATGGGGGAGTGAAGAATGACATAGTCTCCGAGACACTGCCCTGCAAGTTATTGCTGAACTCCAGACCCCAGGTCACTGTCAACTTCTCCGACAGACACACCACCTTGAATCCATGGCAGCCATTGCCCTGGTGCGATTAATTAATTACTGGCTAATGGACTGAGATCGGACAAGGATCTTAATTAAAGAGTGTTTGGAATCTTATTAAAGTCCCCTCTCCGCATGTCCCCCTAACACTCCCACACCCCTGACTTCACCACATCATCAGTAATACTGCAAAACAAGCTGCCTCCATCTGCTCCTGAACAACAATTACTGCTGCAAGGTGAAGCGATTGATTTACTATAAATAAATAATAAATTGAACAGTTTGTTAGACAGTCAATTCGCTTCACAGGACATTGCTGTGAAGCGCTTTGAGACGTCACAATGTCGTGATAAAGCGCTCTATCAAATGCAAGGATTATTATTATTATAATACGGTACAATGGCACTTAACAACAGAAAGTGAGAATTGAGTCCACCCGCTGTCTTCAGTCCAGTTCCTGAGCTGGTGGGTCCGCAGTATTCCATTGGCACTAATAATAATAATAATCCTTGCATTTTTATGTAACGTCTTATCACATCGTTGAGACACCTTAAAGCGCTGCACAGAATAAACTGTAAAGTGAATTGACTGTATATTTTGTGGGTGAAACCAGCTGATTGCGCACATCAGCGTCCCGCAAACAGTCACGGATTGAGTAATTATTATTATTATTATTTTTTAAAGGATTATAAGCCCCCACCCCCCTCCCCAGGAAAGCGATCCGCCAATCGACTAACACCCGGGTTCCTATTTCCCCTCCCTTCTCACATTCAAATCCCACTTAAAGGGCTTCCTTTTCGATTGGGTTTACGGTCAATCATTTGTTGTCATTACTACCAGGTAAACAGAGGCGTGTGGAGTAAGGAAACTTCCCTAAGGCTTCACCCTGCCCGGGAATCGAACCCGGGTCCTCTCGCTTGCGAGGCGAGAGCTCCAACCGCAACCCTACAGGACTAGTGTTCCCGCAAAGAGTTAACTGCAATAGGATTTCAATAGGTTAAAGCCTCGCACATTAACCTTCTGGATCCCGGCCGCTGCCCAATGCTGTGTGAGAGGCCGTGTAGCTGCCAGCTTTCCGCTGCCTGTCACTCTGGAGAGAAAATACCTCAGCGAAAGCTAATGAACTCCTTTGCCTTTTCCATGAATTTCAAGTGCGGATAATTGGAATTCCAACAAAGGACAATTGGGATCCAGGATAATTACCCAACCTTTCCAATTACAAAATTTAATGGCTTTTTTTTTCCCTGCCTCTCCCGTATACTCTCTCTCTCTCTCGCTCTCTCTCTCTCGCTCTCTCTCTCTCCACCCATTCAGAGTCCTGCAGCGTAGTGGTTAGAGCAGGAGGACACGGGTTCAATTCCCGGTAAGTTCAGTAAGTTTCGTTACTCCACACTGTTTACCCAGCAGTAAGTAGGAACCCGGTTGCTAGTCGATTGGCGGATCGCTTTCTGGGGGTAATAATTCCTCCCCAAAAAAATAATAATCCTTACATTTGATATAGTGACTTATTATGTCTTTGCGACATCTCAAAGCGCTTCACAGAATATACTGTTAAGTGAATTGGGCAGCCAATTGCACACAGCAGTGTCCCACAAACAGTCATAGATTGAGTCGTTGATTGAGTGACTAAATTATTATTAATTTTTTAATTTGATTTATTTTTGAAGGGATTATTATCAAACCGCGGAGGAAAAATAAAAGGGAATTAAAAGGGAGGTTGGAGGACATTTCTTTGCACAGAGGGAATGACATCTTCTCTGACACAATCAGAAGCCTGTCTGTCAATTCTTTTTATAATGGTGATAATCCTTGCATTTGATTCAGCACCAGGTGGGGAGGATGTCCCCAGATCCTTCACAGGATTTTCAGTGAAGTGTAGTGACTGTGTTTTTTGTAGGCAAACACCACAGCCAATTTTCAAAGAGCAATGTCCACAAATAGCAATGAGGTGAGTGATCAGGGATTTGGACCCAAGCTGGGGGTTGGGATCAGGAAGCGTGGAGGGCAGGGAGGGTGGGGGTAGAAGGGTGACGGAAGGCGCGGTCGAAGAGGAGATCTTAAGATGGCCCTTGAAGGAGTCAAGAGAGGGAGCGAGGCGAAGGAATGTGGGATGGAGTTCCAAAGGGTAGGGGGCAGAGAGGCTGAAGTCCCGACAGCCGATGGTGAGGCGGGCCAGTAGGGGACATGGAGTAGCCCGGAACCTGCTGAGTGGAGGGAGTGGACAGGTCAGTATAGAGTT